CACTGGAGGAAGGAATGAATGGGCCACTGCTGACACTCTTGACCATCTGTGCCCTTTGCAGTTCTGAGACCAGAGGTGTAATTGTGCCTGATTTCAATTTAATCAGAGCACTGCAGCCAGAATGAGGCTTCGTCAAGTAATAAATTTACTCAAAATGTTTCTACAGGTCCACTTGTCGACAGTAATGATTCCATGCAATGGTTCTCTGTGTAATCTTTATCAAAGCCAATTCCCATATCTCATTTGATCATCTCAACAATCCTTTATTATAAGAAGAGCAGGTATGATGATTTCATTTCAAGGGAAGAACCTGAGACTCCAGGATAAACTCTGAACTCTGTCTCTCGGGCATATGCACCAAAAATGGGCCTCTGGTGCATATGGTGCAAGTGAGGTGGGCAAGACCCTGGCGTCCTCATCCAAGTCCACAGTCCTCTCTCAGGAAACCCTTCCCATGCCTCTTGCCTTTTGATTTCAGGCATCTTGGGTCCTGTCATGGGTTGAATTGTGTCTCCCCCAAACAATATATTGCAACCCTAACCCCCAGTATCTCAGGATGTGACCATATTTAGAAGTAGGGTCATTGCAAGTTGGAGATGCAGTTAGTTAAGAAAAGGTCTTACTGGATGAGCGTGAGTCTCTTACTGCATGTGACTGCTGTCCTTATAGGAAAAGAGACACAGAGACACATGGAGGGAGAAGGCATGTGAAGACAGAGATGGGACAATGCATCCACAAACTGAGGACCGCAGGCACTGCCGACCACACCTGGAAGAGGCATGGAAGGACTCTCGCCTACAGGTTTCACAAGGATAGCCCTGCCCACACCTTGACTTCGTGCTGCTGTCCTCCAGCACTGTGAGACAGTACATTTCTGGAGTCTTAAGTCATCTATTTTGTGGCTCTCATTCCGGCAGCCCAAGAACACTAACACAGGTTCCATTTGGGCAACAGTTTATCCTCTGGGTCAGAATTAACTACACGTGTCATAGGGCGCGAGCCTTCCCCCATGGCCACTGCGTCATGACCGTTGCACCTGAAATGCCTCCTCACTCATCCCCATCTACATGCAAGCCTCACCCCTCCTTCAGGGCATGGTTCAAATGCCACCCCTTCAGGATGCTCTTCTTGGTTGTCCAACACAAATGGGGGAGTAATAGACGATGTAATTGTTGATGCTGCTCACCAAATGTGTTGTTTCTTATCTAGCATCATTCAAGTGGACAGATACGTAGCCTCTTTGACAGACAATCTCTCTTCTGCTAGGAAGGCTGATTATAGAGCAGTAGGAAGACAGGTGGCTGGGAAGGGGGGCAATTCCATATGGAATGCTTTTGGGTCAAAGGTTCACCTTCAGGAGGCCAGGTATTACATCAATCAGAGGCACTAAAACAAATGATAATGTTGGAGCAAGTCATCAAGAGCACAGGACAGCCAGCAGACTCGGGAGCCGGAAGGGACAATTGGAGGTTCCTCCCCCACACCCCTCTACCTCTGTTAGGAGCATCTTCAAGGACGAAACCTTGGGAGAGTAAGGTGTTGAGTCCATCTGGATGGTGTACATTACTGAACCCCATTAAGGCCTCTATAGAAACTCTTAAGATTCTGGTGGGCACGTGTGTCCACCCACGATAAACCTTGTATTTGTGTTCCCTTGCTTATCAAAGCCGACACCCACCAGTCTGGAGTGGCTTTCAGGTTTCACCCCGGGAACTCCTGAGGGGGTTTCGAACCAATGCACACTCAACCTAAACGTATTTGATAAAGTTGGCTTTTCCTGATGTTTGCTCGATGCCCCCTTTCCTTGATTCTATTTTGCATGTTGAACTTGAAGGCTCAGCTCCATTGCATTTCCTCTGAAAGGCTTCTCTGAGGATGAGTATGAAGTGCTCTTTCTCTTCTAAATGTCCACAGCCCTTTATGAGCATGTGTCGCAGAGCAGGCGTCACTCCCCCCACTGCATTTGAGATCTGCATTCCACGCCACCCATATTTATGGAGCAGTTCCACGTGCCAGGCACCAGGCCAGTCCGTGGGGACAGCTTCTTGAACAGGAGAGCAAGGTCTGATCACTGAGCTGACAATTTCATGGGATATGTTTTTAGACTGAAGTATGTTCTAAAAATACTTGTGCAAAGAAAGTGTGGTGCTCTGTTAGGCCCATTCTAGGTAATTAACCGAGTCGGTCTGTGGCAGACGCTTTAGACCTCCATGGAGGGTTGGCTTCCTGGGGGCAGGGCCAGTGCACTTGCCCTGGGACCCCTCCCCCCAGAAGGGCCTGCACTCGGGGTTAAATGCTCTGTAGCTGACATCTTGACATTTTTATTAATTTTAAAAATTAATTTTATTCCTATATTTATGACTCTGGCACCATCCTGCCTCCTGCCATCTCTGGAAGTGGTTCTTGGCTGTCCGCTCCCCCACTCCATGGTGTCCTAGGCCTTGACCAGCCTCTGTCCCCCCATCTTACAATCGCTACAGCTTGCCAATAGGGTAGCACCTGGTCATGTTGGAAGAGGAGGCCTCAGTTCTGCTGTCACCCTCGGCCTGCCTGGTGGGGGCCTGGTAGCAACTGTCCCTGCCCCAGGCCACCCTCGTCATGGCATATTCCACAGGCAACTTGACCAGGGCGAGCCTCTCCCACCTCTGGTCCAGGTACGGTGCTTCCCAGTGCGGAGGCTGCAGCCCCTTGGAGATCTCCCGTGCACCGCCGCTGGGGCAGTGGCCTGCGGTAAAGGAGACAGACTGACTGCCCCCCTTAGCCCTGGCGGGGGCATAGCGCAGTGGGCAGCAGAGGGTGGCAGATATGGGCCACTGGTGCTGTTCGAGTCTAATGCATTCATTGTGCCAAGGGAGCGTGGCATTAGATAGCAAATAAAAACACCATGACAGGTGGAGAGAGACAGAAAAACAGGGGCAAGGTTTCTATTTTAAAGTACCTTTAGTGGACTTTGATTAAAAAAGAAGCCCCTCCGTTTTCATCTTGCTTTACACCCTCCAAATTATGTCGCGGGCCCTGCTCCCTGCTCTCAAACGCAGTAATAACCGCAGCCATCTCTTAGGTTCAGTGACCAGGTGCTAGGACTGTGCCATCAGTCTTCACAACCGTGTGGGTTGGAGACCTCGATAATTTCCATTCCGCGCATGAGGATAACGAGACGCAGGAACCGCGCTCCGGCCCCACATCGGGTCAGCGGCCAAGCTGTGCTCTGACTCCGGCTGTGCCTGGCCCTACGGCTCAACTGCCTCATTATGAAGGCTGAGTGGAGCTCTGCAGGTGGCTGGCGTGCGGTGAAGGATTTGTGAACTGCATGCGTGGGTGGGGAGCTTGGTGCAGGAGTGCCATCACCTTCCTTCCTGGACTGCATTTAGGAAACACCAGCGTGAGTGCCCTGCGCGTAGAAAGCCAGAGGACACTGGGCTGTGTGACAGGGCAGGGCTGGGCTGAGGTCTTGAGTGGGCAGCAGCACGTGACCACCTGCAGCTGCAGAGTGATGGCGAGCTCGCAGCGTCATGGGCTTTGCTGGCCCTTCCTTGTACACAGGGCCTGGCCATCTTGTGCCCAAGTCGGGTAAAGCACCATTTTGTTTCTGCCTCACCATCTGCTTTTCCTGTTATTTGTGAACCATTCTAGGTGTGCATAATTCCCCTTCTGTATTGGGAGGGGCACATGGGGCCTGGCAGAAGACACCCTGTGCCCAACAAGCCCACTCATTTCCCGTGAGACCGCCCCCCCCCAATATTCCTCTTCAGTCTTTATGCCCTGCCTGTGAGCATTCTACCTGGGATCCTAAATTGGGGTGCATTCCGGCTGTGTTGGACATTATTTTGCAAAGTGATGGACTATGGAAGCATGGGCTTTTTAGAGCATTCATTTGAATATTTATTATGACTTCAAGAACCTTACAGAACATTCGGGAAGTGTTGTCATACTGGCTTTTCATAGCAATGTGTCAGGGGTTATATATCTGGAGTGACTCAAATTTTCAGCAATTTTAATAATTTTTTTTGCACCATTCAGAGAGCAAAATTACAATTGCCCTTGTTTGTAGTCTACAGCGTATTTGAGATAATTAAAAATTAGCTCCCCAAACCGCAGAGATCTTCCTAGGAGTAGCGAAGCTCCAGGCAAATGAACTGGACTTTTATGACAGTAAATACGAGATCTGAATCCAGCTGCACATTTTGTTAAAACGGCTCACATTTATGTCATGGTCACCTCTGCTGGGCTGACAACCTTCTGGAATAGTCACCCCTGGCCATAGCTTATGTGCACCCGCAAGAAAATAACTAAAAATAATGGGCTGTTGAAATGGTTATTTAAGCCTCTAAGAAATGCATTCTGATGACTCTGCGTGACTGTGGTGGCTGCGCTCTCGCCGGTCCTGCCTCCAGTTCGCCTCCACTTCTCCGCTGCTGCTTTAAGACTGCAGAGCGCCCCGGCGGCCAGAGGCAGGGGAGGGGTCCCCGCTCG